AAAAGACCTAAATAAATAGAGAGAAGATCTTCACCCTGAAACCCACAGCATCCCTTTTCAGCAGGAAGTAGCTAAGAGAATACGCCATCCCCTTTCCCTTATGAATCAGGGTGAAGTTTCTCTCAGGGAGGAGTGATAGGGAATGGCAAAGGACACACTGACAAAGGAGATTAAACAGAACTGGCTTTGACAAGCACTGTTGCAATTGGACAATTAAAACAGACATTCAGAGGGCGGGGGAAGAAGAACAAACTGGGGAAGAGGGTAGAGAGAATGGTACAGCAATGAAGGAATGAAAACCCAAAATCCTTGCAAATGTTCATTAATACTAATAAAATTTAATTAAAAAAAAAAAAAGAAAGATAAAGAAATGGTTTCTGAGACGGTTTCCTCTGAATCTGCCCTTTCCTCAATGCTCACACTACTTCATCCCACCTCTGGTCCACACTGCTGCTGTTGTTAGGTGCTGTCAAGTACGACTCATAGCAACCCTATGAACAAAAGGTCTGAACTCTGTTCTATCCTGTGCCATTGTTAACTTCCTGACACCCAAGAGCCCATTGCCGCAGTCACTGACCTTCCACCCTTCTGGTCCATAAAGATTTATACAATAATCTCTTTTTTTTCAGTGCATTAAAAGGAGACACCAGGACTCATGGTCTCTAGGACCAAGAGGACTGAAACCAGAAATGCCTCCGTCTTTATTGGAGCTTATCTTCCTTCACTTAATCGCTTCTTAAAGTGATAATCAAGTTATCGAAGAAATCCTCACCTCAAACAACACCCAGTGTCTCTTTTTGCCAACCTGCAGTGACTGAAGAGTATGTTAAGAGACAGAGGCATCACTGTGTGAGCAAAAGACTCTCTAGCCAAAACATCATTTCATGAGACATTTCCAAAGGCTCCTGTGACCAATTACAAAACACAAACATTCCTGATTGGGAACTAAGATCTAAAAATCAGACAGGAACAGTGATCTACTCACGGTTCAGGGTCTAAGGTATCGTTTTTCTTCTTCTCAAACTGATCCTTTGAAATGGTTCTTGATTTAAAAAAAAAAAAGAAAAAGAAAAATGTTAATGAAATTTACCTGCTGAATACCTACTACATGATTCCTTAAACAGATTTCATAAGTAGTTCTTTTCATCTTCATAAGTACTTTATAACAGAAAAATAAAACGACCAGCTGAAATGTCTAGTATACATAAGTAGGACGTGAATATAAAATTGAATTCTGCAGATAGAAGGCTCATTTCTTTTTCTCTGTATTCCTTCGGATATTGCTTTTTAAGCACTGTGCTTACTACAAGCAAAATTTTATCATGGTGAGTTAATCTGTGATGGTAAAATCAAATTGGGGTTATTACCTGCTCCTACTCCACTTGCTCTAAGTGCTAGGCGGCTATTGCGCCTGATAGATGTGGGACAGCCAAGTCATCTAACCACAGTCCCTCAATGCAGGCAAGACCTTTTAGTTTTCACAATGGCTCAGGGTCTGGGTTGCTACTGTTGTGCTCTTAAGACCAGTACCTGTGTGAACACCCTCCTTATTGAGTGCAGACAGACCCTTTGTGGTAGGACCTCACAGAGGGTTAGGAACCACTGGAAGATGCACATTGAATCTAGGGAGAGGGGAGAACTGAAAATGGTGGCAGACTTGAGGGATTGGCAGGTTATTAGATGTCTCAGGTATATACATGATCTGATTAACTTTTCCTTGCCATTCTACCAATTAAAATACACACTATCGGGGAGGTACAGTGGGGAGGAAAAGGTTAACTTAAGGCAGAAAGTAATTAGTCAAGAAGCCTAGTGATGGGCCATTAATTGAAAAGGTGGGCCGTCTGAATCATTCAGCTGTGACAGGAGAGTAAAATCACAGTGTACTCCTGTAAAGATCTACAGCCTCAGAAATCTTACGAGGCAGTTCTATTCTGTTCTACTGGGTCACTGTGAGTTAAAGTCATATCCCTGGCAGTGTTTTTGGGGGTTGGGATGATTCGGAGAGGACAACAGAACACCAGTACAAAGGAGTCACTTTACATTTAGGGTCAAAAATTGAGCTTGGAGAATACTGGAATCCTGTTCTGAGTCTGCATTCTATATAATCAACAACTTCAAGAGAAAATAAACCTAAGAAATGTCCCCAGGACTCACATCCTGTGACTGCCAGTTCTGTGAATAGGGTTACTTGATTTTTCAGGTGTACTGGAAAATTTAAAATTTCTCCAAATGGATTCAAGTCTTTTAAAATAAGAGACAGGTCAGCCAGGACAGACCAGTGAACCGTACTACTGTCATGGACAGGGAAGAAGATGAGATTGGCACTGGCGTGGACTTAAGTCATCAACATTTTTAAGCATAAATGTGCACACACACTTACGTACATTCTGATTAAACAGGTGCATAGCTGATAGGGGGGAAAACTGCTCAGAAGTAAAAATGGCAGTGAGGCTTGCCTTTTTTTTTAAAAAAAAGATAAAATATAATCATGGACGAGGATGGAAAAACGTAACTCTCTTGTAATCCTTCCCCACTTCCCTCTCTGTGAAAACCGAAAGGATGGTACTTACGTCTGGGGCTGTGAAGGGTCGTCACCCAGGGTAACATTCTCCCCCTGGATCTCTGTGAAACACTTCTCACAGAAATGATACCTGTCAGCAAGAAGGCCATACTTGGGTGAACTGGTCCATCATAACACACAGCCACCCAAGCAACGAAGCCACCAATCAGAGCAGGGCAGATCACCACGACGAAGGGGGGGCGTTGTTGGTTGATTGATGGGTCAGTGAGCACAATGAGAGGAACAGAGGGTAGGTGGGGAAGGATTAGAGAACAGGGACGGGAACAGATAGCACAGACAGAGAGGTAAGACACACACACACCAAGACAACACAGAGCAGAAAGCCAAGGCAAAGCATCGATTAGCACTCAATGCACACATCACAGGCCATCATCCTAACATTGACAAGGCCGTCCGGCTCCGGGACGCCAAGCTTCCCAAGGAGCTGTTTATACTAAAATTGAAAGGAGCCTCTATTTAGGAATTCAAATTTTGTATCTTAGAAATAAAATGCAACTCCAGGGTTTAAGATGCTGAAAGAATTTACTCGGAACCAAATTGTCCGACTGAAAGTTATAAAAAGGCAATTTAAATGGAAATCACTTAAATTATTTTCTAAAACAAGATAATTTTTGCTTGGTAGGCAAATCAGGAATTTGTTTCTGGCATTAAGCCTTATCTTTAAACATATGGAAATGTCAAATACCCAGAGAAGGTTTGCATTTTCTTCCATTATTTTGCTCATATTATCACTCAGTTAATTGGGCTACAATACACATGAAACCAAATCCATATTCTAGACAAACATTTAACAGAAATGCATTTGGAGTCAGAGACTTTCCAGCCATTTATCAGTGCTAAGTCAGGGAAAAGGAGTGGTATGAATATATTGTATAAATGATACAATATATGCAACATTCATCAACTATCTATGCCATTTCAAGTTCATTTCTTTCTCAGCTTTGGTTTGGAATGTCTGGTACTAGGCACCACCACCTGTACATCGGAGAGCCTCAGAAGGGACTGCTCTGACTTGGTGACAGACTCCAGTTAAGCAAATTTAGAGTGATTTTCGTAAGACAATCTGCATTTGAGATATTACCCACTTCCCCAATTTTAGGTTTTAAGGCCATAAGGAGCCTGGGCTCAAGATTACCAAACAAGAATGATTCAAATAAAAACTCTTAAATGTTTGGAAAGGACATGAATGAAAAGGGGGGGGGGGAAATTCAACAAAAACGTGGGCGAATGCTGCATAAAACAAGATGGGCACACAGTAATACTGTAGAACTGAACAGGCTGAATGGAGGCAGACTGTACAAGCAGAGGATGAGTATAGGCAGTGACGCAGCAAGGGCAAATATGGGTTTAGTGCTCAGAACTACATCTACGATGCCGAGACGATTAGTATCGAAGACACTGCACGAGACTCAGAGTGCCACACTGAACCACCAAGCACAGGAAGGCTGCGTGGCAGATAAGCGAGCATATGACATTACCGTGCACGCATGACCCACGCACACGCGAGCACACGCACACTCCCTCATGGTGCCATCCAGGCCTCTACTCCACGTTTTCTTGTCAGAACAGGTACAGTCCCCACATTTCGGGGTTAGCTCTCACCTGCCCCGCCAGCCCTGCCCTGTTTGTTGCCCACATGCGTGACTTTTAAGCACACAGCTCTGAACCCATGCAGTGTTCGTGGTGCTGCCTTTTCACGCTGTCTGAGTGGCTTGTGCCTGGTGTTCCATGGGCCCTAGCCGGCCCAGTTACTGCTTCCTGCTGGGCCATGATTCCTGTCTGCCAAGGTTCAGAACTCTTAGCAAAAAGCCCAGATTGCCACTGCTGTTTTAAATAATAAAATATCTTTATTCTGCTTATTTTACTATTTTGTGAATATTTTTGTGGAGCTGTGAAATCATCAAAGAGACTTTCCATGTGTGGAAGGGCACTGTGTGTCTCCCCACCCCCTTCCGCCGCTGTCTGGAGAGAAAGCACACAAACTAAGAACCAATATAGTGGTAAGCAGAACGAAAGGGGGGGGGGGGAAGGTAAGCCCTCAATGCCCCATTATTTCCCTCTTCAAAATAAAATCTGGAATTGAGTGTCAATTCATAAACCGTCAAATGCAGGTACTTTGAGCTAGCACAAAATAGGGATGAACCCATTTTTCTAAGTGAAATGGCCATGAGAATTACATGTATGTCTAAATGGTTTGAAAAGCCTACGCAAATTTTTGTTTTGTGAAGACTTTGGGACAGATCACTGTGTGCCCAGTGACATCAAATAAGCAAGAATGAGAACCCGTGGTTTCCCGACAGAACAAAGTGAGGCAAGAAAAACAGTGTCGACAAACTCAACTCCCTCTGACCTGCAGTTATTCTTCCTGTCCTGCAAAGTGCCAGGGCTAGACAGCTGGTAGGGTCCCCTGGCGACCCTGGGCTACCTGTCCTAAAGTAAGGTCAGCCTGAAAGACTGCAGATGGGCCCTATTGGATCACCTTGCCCACGTCCTAGCCATCCTGGAGATCCATACCATTTCAGGCATCCACTGTGAAACCCTCAGACAATGCACTGTAAAATCCTAATACCAGAGCGGCCACTCGCCTGGTTTCAGAAAAGCTGGATGGACATGGAAGAGGTACAGGAGACACACTGCATGGATGCTGATGGTGATGAGTGCAGTTAGCATGGTGTCTTTAAGGGTGGTTTAATGTACAGAGTAAATTTTCAAATGCAGATTGTTTATGAAAGAATCACTCAAGTGTAATACAACTGGAAAACCTATAGATTAGTCGTCCCAAAATAAATGACTTTTTAAACTTTCAAAAGTTTGGGGAAAAGTGAAAATGTAACCACATTCTGGTTTGAAGAATCTGTATGATCTCTGTTGTACTAAGTGCCAAAATGGATTGGGACTACATGTGCCAAAGGGATTTTAGAAGAACACTGCTGTGATAAAGTCCAGCAGGAAAAGATGAGATGCTAGCCATGGAGCGAGGTCACTTTCATCTGAAAATCAGAGAGTGCTAGTGGACTTGAGGATAGGAGCCAGTAAACCTCAGGAGGTCCGGCCAGAATTGGATGCCCACTTTAAAATGCATCACAAAACACAGATCTTTGTGACCTGTGTTTCCACTCTTGAGAAAAATGCAGTAAAAAAGAAGTTGTACAGAAAAACAAAGTCGGATGTTTTAAAAATTGCAAAATAGTCCTGTTTGCACTCCATCAAGGTCCACGCCTCCGAGATAGCAGTAGTGTCCCTGATCTTATAATTTTACTACACTTTAATTAATGGCTCTCCATTTAAAACACAACTGAGCCCAAAGATAGGCTTCCACATGACCCACCATGGTGATCTGAGCAAGGACCAGGCCCCCAACATTCTAGACAACACCCCCCACCCGTGAACCTGTGGATAAGCATTTAGATAGCACGTGTTCATCCAGGCCCAAATGCTCCCCAGCAGTGGAGACGCTATTTTTAAGGTTATTGCTCAATTTTAACCTGCCTTCTTCAACATTTGATAACAACTCTATTCTACCAAGCACACAAGGTTTTCAAAGGGTGTTCCTTCTTTGTTATCATTAGAGAGGGATAATAAAAGGCTGAAGGGGAGAATATTTCTGTGCTCATGAACTGGGTGAGATGACTAGGAGGGACGCTATAGACATAATAAATGGGGGAGCTGGACCAGGACTTCAAGGGGAGCCCTTCCCCAGGGTGCAAGAAATCCCACTGCAAAGGGGCTAGAATATTGTTCCAAATATTGTCTTTAAATTCTGAGCTGTCCAGGCTGTGGTTCTAGTTCAGACGGTTCCTGGGGCTGATGTGCACTTTTCACCTGCACCAGAAGTTCATGGACCTGGGATTAAATGAGCAGCTGAGATTTAGATGCCTTTCTGGAGACTTTGTGTCAAGTTTTTTTAACCTATAGGTTTTTGGTTGGTTTTTTTTTAAAATTTTATTTTATTATATTTTGTGTGTGTACTGTCAGATCAGATCTAACTGGTACAGGAGGAGCTTGCCCCTCCTTCTCCAGCAGAGCATCTGGTGGATTTGAACTGTGTGCCTCTGGGATTGCAGTGCAGCTTCTTGCCACTAGGCCACCAGTGCTCCCTTCAATCTATAGGTTTTTGATGGAAGTTGTTTAATTATACTTAGCAAGGGCAAAGGTTATATTAAAAAAAACCAAACCAGAATAACTAAAAAAAAAAAACACCTCAAACAAAAAACCAAAAAACTCTACAAAAAGACCCATCTTAATAAAAAAAGGCATTTTTTAAAAAACTGATCCTTAACAGTAACATTGAAGACTAAGTACTCAGAGGGAAAACAGTTACATACAGCCAACACAAAGAATCTAAGTGCTGATTCACAAGACACCAGCTGTGTGAGAGCGTGCGAGAGCGTGTGACTGAGCGCGAGAGCGTATGACTGCGTGTAAAACCAGTATCAAAGATGATTTTCACCCTCCCTTTACTTGAGATAGCCAAACTTGAAGAGAACAGCAACTGTTTCTCAACTACACTGATCCATGAAACTTTGGATGGGCTATCTTCTAACAGGAACAATACACTGGAAGTAAAAATTTTGTGTTGTGCTAATTTAAAATAAAGGGGGGGTTTTTAAAATGAAAAACCCAGACTTTTGTGTGTGTGCAGGAGAGTTAAATGCAGATCATTGAATCTGTCTGGTCAAATACTCTAGATAGATTTGGAAAGCAGAAGCATTAGCTAGAATTTTTCTTGTGTGTGATTATCTCCAAAAAGGCAATGTCAGGCCCTTTCAGGGCTACTCACAGCTACAGACTTTTGCTAACAAGGCTCTATCTTACAAAGACCACAGTTTAAGACTCAATGAACCCAATTCAGGTAGTGTAGTAAGCAGTTTCAAGCTTAAATCTTTATACTAAAAAGGATTAAACACCCCTTCCCAAACTTTAAAAGTAAGACATTGTAGGCTTAACTGATTGATCAAGCAACAGTGAAATCCTGCACTTGTCTTCGAGCCAACAGGAGGACACAAACAGCCCACGCTGGCATCCTCAGAGGAACCACACTGCCCTGAGAGTGTGCTGCTCCTGGTGCAGCAGCAGGTCAGGCAAGCTTACCTGTTCTGGTAGCTGTAGTAGGCAGCGTCCCGAGGAATCGTACACAACTGCTTCCCATCGCAGTACCAAGTCTGTGGGGAAAACTCATACTGCAAAGCAAAGGAGAAAAATATGTAAAACATAATGCATGTACTTTTCTGGAATATTTTAGATTCACTAAGAATAGTTAAGGTTTAATCAGTAATTATCTCTAAGTAGATCACAGCTTTAGTTTGCTTGGCTCCACAGTCAACAGTCTTGGCACCAGCAGCCAGGAAATTAAAAGGTACGATGTGAAAGTCTGCTGTTAGGGACCTCTCCAAAGTACTGAAAAGCCATGATGACATTCTGGAGACTAAGGTGCGTCTGATACAGGCCATGGTCTTCGCAATCACTTGTTATGCATCAGAGAGTTGGACAATGACCAAGGAGGATAGAAGGAGAGTTGATGCCTTTGAGCTGTGGTGCTGGAGAAGAGTATTGAGAATACCATGGACTGCTAGGAAAACAAACAGATGTGTCCTGGAAAGGGTTAAACCGGGTGGCTCCTTGGAGGCAAGGATTCTGAGGTTCCGTCTAACATACTTTGGACATGTTGTGAGGAGAGACCGGTCCTTGGAGAAGGACACAGAGCAGGAGAGGAAGGCCCTCTATGAGGTGGACTGATTCAGTGACTGGGATAATTGGGATGGGAGTGTCAGAGACAGTGCGATTGGCACAGGACAGAGCAGAGTTTAGGGCTGTTGTACATAGGGTCGCTATGAGTCACAAGCGACTTGACGGCACATAACAACAACAACAACAGATCTGGAGAGTTTTCTCAATTTCCATATGCTAGAGTGAGTGTAGCGTTGTATCTACAAGACCATGGTTATAGATGATGAAATGCGCCTGGGACAGCTAAAAGCTGCTTAACCCTAGGGCTCACACAACAATATCCCTACAGGTCTGGCAGGAATCGTTTTACAGAGGCCCAGGATCCAGCTAAGCACTGCCTCATCCCCAAGCAGAGAGCTATCTATTAGAATGCTGAGTCTGGGGGGAGGATTGCATAACAATGAAAAGAATTTTTTTCTCTCTCTCTCTTCAAGGAGAAGAGCGAACTGGGGGTGGGTGGGTAGATATGGAGTGCAATAACGTATGAATGGAAATCCAAAGTCTCTGTGAACTTTAATAAAAAAAAAAGCTGAGTCTGTTATTATTATAAATTGTCATTATACAAAAATCCCAACAATACTCTTGAGTAGGATTAACCAGAGAAGTTCAATTTCTAGATGAAAATAAAATTGTACCTTGCGTCCACAGCAATATCCAAGTGACTGCATAACAGGATCAATTTCCTGTTCAAAGACCTCGGCAAGTTTGCTGCAAAACTTGTAGACTCGGGACGTCTTCCGATTGTAGAGCCAAGCATTGTTAAACATGAGCCAGACATCGTCCACATACTGCCAGGGCTCCTGGTACTGGCCTGTGTCCAGCTTCCGCTTGATGGTGGAAAGGTCCATGGGATTCTTCACAATGTCAAAATAATCCTTTAAAACAAAATGGGTTCTCAGTTCAGAGGATCCTCAAGTCCCCAAAATCAAGGTGTATCTTTGAAAACAGTAAAGTGAAACAGAAATAGAAGATACCAGAACAGCTTTGGTTCCTTAGTACTAAGCAATAAGCACTGAACAGAAAATCACCTGATTTTCCCTTTTTAAAATTGTTAATATTCAAAACAACTATGGGGTAACTAACATCTCACCTAAGTAAGAATAGCAAAACTCAACAGAGTAGCAAACAACAAATGCTGGTGAGGTTGTGGAGAAACTGGAACCCTTATTCACTGTTGGTGGGAGTGTAAAACGGTACAACCACTCTGGAAGGCAGTGTGGCGCTTTCTCAAAAAGTTGCAGATAGAGACACCATTTGACCCAGCAATTCCACTACTGGGAATATACCCCAAAGAGACCATAACTGACACCCAAGCAGATATATGCACACCCGTGTTTACAGAGACTTTGTTTACAATAGCAAGGAGCTGGAAACAACCTAAGTGCCCATCAACAAATGAATGGATAGAGAAGCGGTGGTATATTTACACAATGGAATACTACGCTGCATTGAAAAACCAAGGACTCATGCAGTATTATTCAAACTGGGTGACCCTGGAGGACATTATGCTTAGTGAAGTATCTCAGTCACAAAAGGACAAATACAGCATGGTGCCACTATTGTAAAACAGGACTGGACATCAGGACTCGGGGGAGACTGAGAAAGATGGGATAAATAATGTATACTGCATTAAAACAGATGAGGGAGAAACTGTTTAAAAGGGATATGTGATTAGGTTTTATTGCCATGATAGGAGTCCAGAACGAAGGCTGCATAGTGGAGTGGACCTGGGAGGAGGGATTGTAAAACAATGAAAGAATTTTTCTTTTACTTTTCCAAGAGGGGAGGTGCACTGGGGATGAGGGGTGGGCGGGGGGAAAAGTGCAGCAATGAATGACTGGAAATCCAAAGTCTCTAAATTCTCACTGAAATTAATAATAAAGAAATTATAAAAAAACAAAGACGAGAACTTGGGAGAAGGAGTGGGCAGGGAGGAAAATGTGCAACAATGAATGAATGGGGAAAAATTAAATGGGAAGTATATGCTGTAAAAAAAAATATGTTTCATTAAAAAAATTGTTACTATTTCCCAATGTGATCAAATGATTCAAAGAGCAAAACAAGAGTGAAAGAGTGCTGAATGAATTGCTTAGTGAAGATTTTCAATGAAATATTTTCATTCTCTTCCCTAGCAAACAAACTGAAACCGTACGACAAAAAGAAAAATGACTGCAACACACTCTCTGGGTCACATGACCCTTGCCAGACAACAGAGGGATAAGCAAGAGGCATTTTCATGAATGTGCACCAGTGCTTTACACAGTGCCTAATAAGCAAAGTCTCCCTAAAGCACCCATAATGTACGCTGAGGCCTCTGAGGCCACCATGTTCACCAGTACTGGTCAGAAGGGGCCCAGACATGTGCCTTCCTCTACCTCAGCAGCATTTTTTATCACTAATGCTTGGGCTCAACAGAAAGAGTTCAAAATTTAAGGTACGGTAAATTATTGTTTTGGTAGAAAACAGTTTCAACTTGAGGAAAGCTCTTCAAAGAAATGGGATTATTCTATCTGATTTTAAGAGCTAAAGCAATGACTACTCATGAACCACACTAGAAAAGCCACAGTGTTGTGACATTCTATTTGTGCCCCCCAGAAATACATGGTGTGACTCCTAAGGCTGTGGTCATAATCCCATCTGGAGACCAGGCTCCTTTTGTTACATTAATGAGGCAGGATACAGTTAAACTCTTTTGAAATATAAAAGGGTTTAAACAAGCAAATGAGTCAGCAGAGCAGGGTTAAAATATATGCCAAGACAGGAAGGGATCTGCAATGAACCTAGAAGTAGACACTACAGAGACAAGACCTTCCTCCAAAGCTGAAAGAGAAAGAAAGGCTGCCCCTAGCACTGGCACCATGAATCTGAACTTCTGGTGTCCTAAACTGTGAGAACTGTTTAACTGTTCAAGCCACCCCCTTGTGATATTTCTGTCAGAACAGTACAGGGCAACTAAGACACGACATTGTTGTATACTGCCAAGTTGGACCGACTCATAGCTGACCCTCCAGAGGGTTTTCAGAGGCAATTAACTGCAAAGGAAGAAGACTGCTCGTCCTTCTCCTATGGAGTGGCTGGAAGATTTGAATCATGTTCTTTGGAATTGTAGTGCAGTTTCTTACCATTAGGCTACCAGAGCTCCCTACATTAACTTACAGGAATTCCTAGGAGCTGGGGATCCACTGGCTGCCGAAAAGGCAAAGACTCTGGGTCCTGTCGATATAGCGCTTCCAGAGTTGGCATGAGAGCCTGGCGTAGCTCCTCTGGCTTGAAGACTGCAATTAGAAAACATCAGAATGAGATGTGGTTTACAAGTTGCCCAAACCACTTCGCTGCCACCTTTATAACAGAAGCCCTGGTTGCTTCAAAGGGTCCTGATGCTGCCCTCTCAGAAACTCAGCTTTCAAAGTGTTTTCTGGATATCAGGTATCTCAGGATCTACGGACACTTTAAAGCAGAAATGCTGGATTTCCATACTATTGTTGCTGTTATATGCTGGAACTGACTCCTAGCTGAGCCTCCAGCTGGTTTTCAGAGGCTGTAAATCACAGGAGGAAACTGCCCATCTTCCTCCTGTTAAGCTTTTCAAACCACCTGTATATCTATTTATTCTGGCAGTATATCTATTTATTATGTCACCAGGATCCCTCCCAAAATGCAGTATCAATTATTCCTGAAATACTGCACTCAAACCACTAGCATCGCAAGTTTACTTTTCCATGTACATTCCTTGCTGGGCTAGCCAATGTAGCCAGCTTCTCGCTTGGCTTCCAGATCTGGGGAGGCAGGCGGTGAAGACACGATGCCTCACTGGAAGGAGTCCTGAAGAACACTTTCCTTTGCCCCAATAGCACTCAGGGGAACTAGAGTGGTGTGGAGTCCCTTAGGTGTGCTAACCCAAAAGCTGTGCCTGAGTCTTTGGCAGTTTGAAACCCACTGGCAGCTGTATGGGAGACAGAGGAATTATTTCTTCCTGTGTAATTTATAGCCACCAAAAACCCAAAGGAGATCAGTTACCAGTTCTGACTTGATGGCAATGAGAGATGAGAACTCAGAACACTCGAAACCACCCCAGCGATTCTTAAATAACCTCAGACTCCAGTAAGTCCACTTACTGCCTTTGGGTCAGAACTAATTTAGAACTCATCCTCCTGCAGGTTTTCAGACACTGTAGACTTCAAGTGAGGAGATCGTTCATCTCCCCTGCAGAGCAGCTGGTGAACGACACACTCACTAGGCCACCAGAGCTCTCTGTACATATCATCCAGTCAGAACTGACCTAGCCACTCACCCTCCTGCAGGTTTTCAGAGGCTGTAGACTATATATGAGCAGCTGGTGGATTTGAACTACATGCCTTTGGGTTAGTAGTGCAACTCCTTACCACCAAGTCACCATGTTGTTGTTGTGTTTATATTGTTTTTGTTTGCTGTTTAGTCAGAAATCTACCCACAGATGACTCTCCAGTAAGTTCAGAGGCAGAAAATCACACCAGAGGAGACTGCCCATCCTTCTCCCACATTATATATGTAGATACATAACATATATTTAAATTGTGATAAATGTATAGGTAACAAAATATTTGCCATTTCAGTAACACTGAGTATGATCATTATATTGAGATTTATAATATTGTATTAGAGCTTCATAAACACTTATAGTAAAGTTATAAAGTGGAATATTTGAAAAGAAAAAAAGAATACTCCAACCACAAGGCCCCAAGACTGTGTTCTTTCTAGCAGACTGAGGCCTGTGCCTCCAGCCTCTGAGCAGCCCATTTCTTAGGACACTTCTGCTGTTACCAGGACTAAATCTACTGGATGCCACCCTCCTAAAAGGCCCCAGTGCCACATGGGTGAAGGCTGGGGAAAGCAGCTGCTTGGGGCAGCTTGATTGCCAGTAATGTGTTAGAACACTCTCTGTGCAATTCAACCATAATCTCCTGTGGACTTTTTCTCTGGCAAGGTTGTGATAAACCGTGATTTCAAAATTAGAGTCAAATACATAAAAGCAGGCCCATTCTAGGCAGGGCAGGAATGTTTGGAGGAAGGCCAGTCAACATTTCCTTCAGGGAAACCTTTGGATTTCCATCGGGTTCCTCCAAACTCCAACCTACTTCCTATGGCTGAGACGAGTGTGACTCCCAGTGTGTCCCAAAAAATGGGACAGGGGCTTTGACAGCTGCAAGATTTATGGAAGCAGACGGCTTCATCATGGTGGGCGCCTATGCTGCCCTTTCAGTTAGTAGCCAAGTACTTAAGTGCACTACCAGAGATCCTCATCAGGTTAAAAGGGAAACTCATCAAAAGGCATGAGCCTCACTTGAGAGATGAAGCCGGCTGGGAGGTGTGACAGGAGCTGGTGCCATCACAGCTAGTGCTGGCCATGTCCCCTGACTCCCTTCTCCAGAATCTGCTGCTTCTCCTCCAAGACCTCAGCTGCAGTGACTCTGACAGCAACAATGTGTCCTGTGTTCGAAGCCACCAAGCCAGTTTCGACTCCTAGTGACCCTACACACAAAACAGAGATGCTGCCTGGTCCTGTGCCGTCCAATTACCACCTTGCCGGATCCTTTGTTACAGCTGCTACTCGGTATGCAGAATGTTCAAATGCAACCTCTCTGAAGCACACGCACTGGCAGTGGCCTAGTAAAGTGCCTTCAACGACCTCATCATGAGGGCATATCAGTCTGTTCACTGCTGGCAGCCAATTTCTTTTCTTCTACTCTGGTTTAAACAGAGGTGAAGTAGGGTTTGGTATTCTCTAAGTAACTCTTTAGAAAAACCTAAGCATGTAATCAAGAACTTTCTCACACCTTTTCTGTGACTCACTGGCCTCACGACCTCTTGCTTCTGAAGGCCCACAGGCTAAGGTCAAATTTAATTTGACATTTTAAACAGCTGGGTGAAAAATTACAAGAGTCTTCTTTTAAGACCTATGAAAATCACAAAAACGTCAGGTTTTAGAATTAAAAAATAAAGTTGCATTGGCACACCCCATGCCTGCATCACCACTGGCTGCTTTTGCACTATAATGCACAGCTGGGGGTTGAAACAGACTGAATGGCCCACAAAGTGCAAATATTTACCATATGGCCCATTACATGCTCTGTTGGTTGTGCAGTATATTATGCATGTCTCCAGCAGTTCAAATCCACCAATGGCACTGAAGGAGAAAGACAGGCACTCTCTTCCCATTAAGATTTACAGACTCATAAACTCAACAGCAGACAGCTGAATGGAATCAACTCAATGGCAGTGGGGCTTTGAGGTCCTTTGCAAAAAAGGCCTGCTGCTTTCTGCTCCATCTGAACTGGCCACTCACTCAACATTTATTAACACCTGTGCTAAGGACAGCAATGTTTCAAGACTTTAAATGAAACAGAGAAGTTGGAAACAGAATTAGAACTGAGCTCTGTACTACAGGTTAGTGTGGTTCAGAATTCAGTTCATCAGTCATATTTCAAGTGTTCAATTAGCCAGTTATAAGTGGTAGAGCCACAGTGAAAGACATAAAATACTTCCATCATTTTGGAAAGTTCTAGCACTGCCCTAGCATTTCCCCACGGGGTCTCCTGGCTTACAAATACTTTCATAATACTGTTTTTTGAGAAATACTAAGCTGTCCTTTGCCTTTTTCAGTGCTAACATCTGCACTGATGGTGGGTAGCACTGATAGATACTACCTTAAAAGGAAACTCTACTGCACTCAAGGAGAAAAAGGCCAGTAATACCTCAGAAGACCCTTAACAAAGTAGTGAAAATTACTAATCTGATTACTTCTCAGTGCTTGCATACTCATCTTTTATTCTGTGTATTTCAGCACAACATTTGCATAAAGCATTTCCACTGTGTAGTGGCTGTCATGTAAGGAGGCATTTGTCAACTGCTGGAGTTGAGAGTGAACCGAATTCACTGTGTCATGCAGCAGCAAAATTTGAAACAGCTGCTGACAGACACGTTGTCCTTAGTCAGGTCTGGCTCTATGGCAGATGTTCGCTTAAAAATGTACAAAGTATCTACAGCCAGGAGAAGATAAAATAAATGAATGGGACCTTCTAAGAATCAAATCCCTATGCACATCCAAAAGCTTCTCCAACAGGGTAAAAAGGGAAACCACAGACTGGGAAAAAGTATTTGGTAATGACATGTCAGATAAGGGACTTATATCTATCTAGAATTTATAAAATACTTGAGCACCACAACAAGATAAAGGTAAATAATCCAATTGAAAAATGCGCACAGGATATGAACAGACACTTTACCAAAGAAGACATTTAGATGGCTAACAAGCACATGAAGAAATGTCCAAAATCCCTAGCTCTAAGAGAGATACAAACCAAAACAACTACGAGATATCATCTCACGCCAGTAAGGATAGCAAAATTTAACAGAATAGCAAGCAACAAATGCTTGGTGAGGTTGTGGAGAAATTGAGACCCTTATTCACGGTTGGTGGCAGTGTAAAATGGTGCAACCACTATGGAAGGCAGTGTGGTGCTTTCTCAAAAAGTTGCAAATAGAGATACCATTTGACCCAGAAATTCCACTACTGGGAATATTCCCCAAGAGACCATAACTGACATCCAAGCAGATATATGCACACCCATGTTTACAGTGACTTTGTTCACAATGGTGAGAAGTTGGAAACAACCTAAGTGCCCATCAACAAACAAAATGGAGAGAGAAGCCGTGGTATATTCGCACAATGGAATACTATGCTGCATTGAAAAACAAGGAACTCATGCAATATTATTCAAACTGGGTGACCCTGAAGGACATTATGCTGAGTGAAGTATCTCAGTCACAAAAGGACAAATACTGCATGGCACCACTATTGTAAAATAGGACTGACATTGGGGTTTGGGGGAGATTGAGAAAGATGGGTTCAATAATGTATACTGCACTGAAACAGATGAGGGAGAAAACTGTTTAAAAGGGATATGTGATTGGGTATTTTTGTCATGATGGGAGTCCAGAACGAAGGCTGCATAGTGGAGTGGACCTGGGCGGAGGGATTGTAAAACAATGAAAGAACTTTTTTTAACTTTTCCAAGAAGGGTGTGTACTGGGGATGAGAGGTGGGCGGGGAGAAAAGTACAGCAATGAAATTTTCATTGACATTAATAATAATAAAAAAATGTACAAAGTATGGGCAAATGATACTGAAACGTAGGCTTTCAATCAAAGATTGTACTTTTGAAACACTGATTTTGGCACCTTCACAAAACTTTTAAGACTTTTTAAAAAAAGACTGAAATTAAAAAAAAAAAAAAGACTGAAATTAATAAGTATGACTTTTTTAGAAAATATCACATCTGTATGATACCACAAAGAGAACCAGTCACTTCCAGGTGACCAATGACTGACGTCCTACAATCTCAAAAGGGCTGAAGACTCACTCCCAGTGAAGGGCAGAGAGGACTGCCCGACAGGACACAGTCATATGTGTGGACCCTAAGTGGACATTGCAACTAGTCCTTCAGAGACTACCACTTGTTGAGTTTTGTTGCAGTATCAGAGAATATCCACAACTTAATACTATTTGTGAATGCCATGCAACTCGATTTTATTGTTCACATTTCTAAAGCTTTAACTTCTCTAGCAATCAACCGATGGACAAGTAAAGAAAAGCTCTCCAGGGTTCTACACTCTGAGAGTGGAGAGCCCCAGGGCAATGTGTTTGAGAACTTGGTAAGTACCTAATTGTCTAAGATGCAGGGCCTCATCACTATAAGCCAGCACTGCTTTTTGTGTGTCTGCTCATTCCTACATGTACCAACTGCAGTCTCAGCGTTCTGAACCCCACCTTTTATTTTCAAAGTAATTTTGACATTTCCCCAACACCAGGCTACCTCTTTCTACATAACCTACCCTCCCATTTCTTGGCCCAGAACTCCCTCCCTCCCACTGCATGAAGTCACCTACTTCCCACTTTACCGTCATCCTGTTTGTGGATTATCACCCTTCATTTCCGATGACCACAGAGGTTTCCTAACCCACTTTTGGTTAGGAAACTTGTGCTATTGCAACAGTAATTCTCCTAAATCACAGTGTTTCTGGTTATTTTCAACATGAATTCTTCAGTGGTTCTTTAAATCTTGCTAGGCAGTGTTTCCAACAAGATGGCTCGATGCAGTGGCTGCTATAATAGGATAAAGTCCAGCAAAGACTGTGAGGAAGATGAAGGACTGGGCAGTGTTTCACTGGGTTGTACATGGAGTCACTATGAGTCACAGCTGATAGCATGTAGCAAGCATATACATAAAAATGCTACTTATGAGTGTAATGTAACAGTTATTATTAATTTGAAATAAATAAAGTATTTAAACATTTTCTGTTTCTAATCAAGGAAAGGATGCAAACTTTTTTTCTCTTCCTCCTAGGCGGCAGCCTCTTGCAAGATGCCTCTGAATTCTGAGGCGGTTTCCATGGAAACATAACCCGCCTCTTCCTCATAGCCTCCTGGTTCTGAGAACTGAAGCAGGCAAGAGAGCGATAAAGGGTTGCTGAAGCTGCCTGTGTATAGTTTTATTCCTTGTGGTCCATGAGGACTTGTATACTACAGACAAGCAGCAGCACTGGGGAAGGGAAGGGAGCCAGGACCTACTTTTTTTCCGGGGCTGAGAGGGTGAGGTCGACTGAGTGGCTGGGCCAGTGGTGCTGCTCTCCTCTTCCTCCTTCACCTCTACCTTGATTTCAGATTTCTTGTCATCCACTTCCATCGGCTCTGACTTCTGCTCAGTTGTGTCTGCGTCCTCTTTTACCTGAGAAGCTCCTTGCAAATCCTCCTCCATCATCTTGGGGTGGGGGTGGGGGGAAAGAATGACAGATGAGCACCAAAGACCTTTTTTCTAACTCAGCCTTATTGGAGATTACTACAAGTCTGCTCAGGGATGTAAAAAAAGCCCTCCTTGGTCACACCTGCCATTCATTCTCCTTCCTTTCTGGTCCCAGAAGCAGGTCCGATGACTGTGGCGGTTGCCGAGAGGAATTCTGGGTATAGGGAGTGATTGCAACCACCTGCTTGGGCTAAGCCAGCAGGAGGACAGAAACTTGAAGGCCCTGGGACTGCTCAGTGCCACAAGGCTCGGCTCCTTACTTTTCAAGAGAAGTCGGAAATTTCAAGTTTTCTTTGGAATCCTTCAATTAAAAATATACTATATGGACCTCAACACCCACAAAAACCCATTGAGAAACTAGATGCAGCCCAGGTCTGCCCAGCTGCACTTCCTGCCACAGGCCTGAAGGGGCACGAGGGAACTCTTTCTGCAGCCCACTTCTGCAGAGCTGGGACTTAACTGAGAGCTGTGGGGAAAGTGGAATCATGATCTCAACTATAAACTATAGCTGTGTTCTTCATTTCTAGCAGAAGCAAATGAACTCATGCCTCTTCCCAGTCAAAAACTACCAACTAACCTGCTCTGAACCTACATATTCCAAACTAAACTTTATTCAAATATAACAGCAGGGGCTGGGAAAGGAACCCAAACATTTCTAGGACTTGTTAGCACTTCCACACACAGCATCCTTGTCCCCCAAGAAAAAGCACTCACCTCAGCCCTAGGTTCCCCCTTGGAGTCTCGAGATTCAGGCTCAGGTTCCTCCGCCTTGGCCTCAGTCTTCATTTCCAGCACAGGCACGTCAACTCCTTGCTGCTGGGAAGTGGTTTCTGCACTGGCCACCGAAGGTGGAGTGGGAACCCTGTTATCGATGCTGGCAGTTGCCTGGGAAAGCTGTGGACAAAACCAGTCACACACATTCGTGAAAGAGACCACAGACATGAGCTTAAATGCTGGAGGTCATGTGAATCACAATGCTTTGTCCAAGTCTACTACTCCCCTCAAAGACACAGAGATAAATGGGGGACATAAGTGGTTATCTCGAGAGCATGAGCATCAGTCTGAGAAGGAAGAGATGGAAAGAGATTCACTTTTTAAATTCCAATAGAAAATTATCTCCTGAAAGTTTTCTACCTCATAGAACCGCCACTTCTAAAATTATTTCCTTCCAGAAAGTCTATAAATGGTTTCAGTAAAAGACTGAATTATAAATACTTAAGTATGTAAGGAGGGAAGAGGATAAAGTGTTTACATGGAAAAAATAATGTGTCACTTGTTGATTAAATGCAGGCAAGGTGGTGGTGGGGTATACAAACACGAGAAGGAAGTACTGCAAGGATCCTACATTTTCAAAGTGTCACTCAGTTGGGTTTTAATAAAAAAACAAAAGATAATGTGATCTTACTGGAGGTATGAAGTACAGGAATATCTCTCTCTGATTTCTTGGCCTCAAAGAAACTGTGTTTTTCATTAAAAAGAAAAAAAAAGTATGTGGCAATTCTGAGTTGAGCACAACTATCACCATCACTTCCCAGCAGCCTGTGAGTACAGGCTTGGTATCTCTGTCACATCAGGGTCATTCTCATAGCAGTTAAAAGTTTTCATCATGTTACTGCAGACTGCGGTGTAACTTTTCCATATACAAGGTGGCTCATTTTATGGAGACACTGGCCTTGCTGTGATGGCCTGGAACCATACCTGCGTTATCACCGAGGTCTGCCTGCCCAGGACCAGGCAGACTGTGTCATGGAGAAATCGAAGTAGAGCTGCCATCTTGGGTATATTTCATATACACTATCTCAGAGTTCAAGAATAAAGTTGGCATATCAAGGAGGTCTGAATGATATTCAGCAAAAAAGGGAATGCTAGTGTTTCAGAGATGATGGAGAAAGAGGTGGTGGGACTGAACAATGGAGCCTTGGGCATGCTGTAACCCAGCCTGGACTCCAGGACGTGAAGAGCAGCCTGAAGATGACTCTATCTTATAGAGTGAATGACCTGGGGCCAAATCAGGAAGAGAAGTCTCTTTCTTGTCTGGCAAGAAGACTTACAAGTAAGATCAAAGCATATGCAACCAGAAGCATAAGTGTTCCCAAACCCAGATAGAAATCACTGGAATGGGAAAAGGACCATCTAGAACAATTCACAGGAGCACATCAGTCCCATATGTAGATGCTTCAAAATTCCTATAGATGACCAGTGGCCAGGCCTCAATAATTACTGATATATGACCACAAGGCAACCTGGGGAGATGAATATTAAGTCCTGCCAAAGATTCTTTAGCAATGACAATGAAAGAAGTGGTTGCAGCACATCACTTATTTGGAGTTCTGAGATGGGAGGATCCCTGCTTCAGGAACTGTACCCACCACCTGCTGAGAACCCCATAATGGTGAGGGTCGCCACACAGGCTCTGCCCACAGAGACGGGCTGGTTCTCACCGGTGTGCCTGGAGGTTGGGCGTGCACAGATGTCGGCTGCTGCTGAGATGACTGTGGGGTGGGGTCCGATGGGGGCTGCACGGGGGTCGGAGGCTGTGGTGTCACCTGGGCTGGCGCTGTAGCCTGCACTGTTGGGGTGCTCTGAGTCTGGGTGGCACTGGGCACTGAGCCGGGAGTAGGAGTGGGAGTTTGGCCAGAAGACGACACAGGAGTAGATGGCTGCGTTGGGGCTGCTGGCTGGGGAGGAGTCATCCCAGGTGGTGTTGGGTGCTGCAGAGAAGGCATGCCAGCGGCTGTGGAGGCGGGAGGGGGTGTCTGGTGTAGAGGCGACTGTGTCACCGGTGGGCACGGTAGCTGGCTGGCTTGTGGCCCCAGTATGTTCAAAGGGTTAGGAAGAGTAGCCCCAGGCACCTGTCCCTGTAAGTAGACAAGAAATGAAAAAGCAGGTTAGTATCATCTCCCTCTTCAGAAAACGTGGCAGTCAAAGGAACTAGAACACATGAAAATCCGAGTAGGCTCCCTGGTAGAGTGTTCTGTTGGCAGATACTTGCTGAGGTGCAGATGAAACCAATGCCCACTCTATACTATTGAAATGATGGCTTCCAATCCCACAGCCCAATAATCTCTCTCTCACACATACCCACCCACACCCCCACACACATGTTCTGTGACACAGATCCCCCAGAAAAGGTATTCTCATATACACTCTCTCACATGCTCCCCCCAACCTTATTAACTGCATGTTTGTGACACAGATCCTCCAGGAAAAGTATTTTTGTCTTTCATTTAAAAGAACAAACCAACTCCAAAGTCATTAGGACAAAGAAAGCTTTGGCAGAGTGGGGCTCAATGGAGACACCCCAGAATTATCGGGGACCTTTTGGAAGGCATGATTATTTGAGGTCCACCCAATCTGGAGCCCAAAGCTTTACAGCAGGTGGTGGTGGAGTACTGTTCTAAACAACAATGATTCGAAGGCCAAATCATGATTGTTGCCTGCTTTTGTAAATAAAGTTTTACTGGAGCACAGCTACATGAAAGCATCTGTCTGGTTCTTTTTTGCTACAATATAAAACCTAATAGCTGGCAAAGTTGAAGATATTTACTGACTAAACATTTAGAAAATAAGTTTGCTGACCTCTAGGTTGTTTGTTTTTTAAAAGGAAAGGTATGAAAAGTAAGAATGAATGATTTGTTTAGAAGGAAGCCTCATCTAATATATGGAATAGCTTTTACTCAGTATATTGACATATATATCCTGGGGAAGATTTGACAGGCTCTACATACACAAAAGCAATGATGGACCAAAACATAAGGAACAAAAACAGTGAAACATGGGAAGTTGTTATCATGATCTTTAGGTTGAGGATTAAACCCAGTGAAAGAAGGTTATCTAGTGGACGTGGTCTTAACTGGGTAAAGCTGAGCCAGAGAAGACAGGACTCCGTGCTCAAAGAGAGAATGTCCCACCCATGTTCTCCCTCCCTGCTGCTCATTCCCAGCATCCCTCAGGATCATGTATGAGGTTTAGAATTTCGTACATACCAACAAAACAAGACAAATCTCCACAGTCAAAGCAAGCAAAAGAATGCACATCATTTCAGGTTTGAGGCCCTCCCACTGAGGGATGGGAAGAGCCACTCAACGCCAGTGACGAACTGCAGGACAAATGGGGAAGCAGAGATGCTAGCTGTGGAAGTTAAGTGCATGTTTTAGAACTGCAGTTTTGGTGACCTAGTCTGCTGGTGCCAGTGGGGAGAGAGTTGTGTGCATGCCTACCCAGAAGAACAGTACCTGTGACACCCCGGTCTGGGTGGCTGGCTGCCCCAGGCCCACGCTGTTTACGCTCATTGCTCCACTAGATGGCGGAAACTGGTTCTGTGGCAGGAACTGGCTCTGCGAGGGGGCCTGGGCCATCATGTTGTTGGTGTGTGGACCCATCATGCTTGGAGGCTGGGGCATTCGAGAAGGTGAGATGGCCATCTGAAAGACAACAAGCATTACCTCAGGGCTACCAGTCAGAGAAGCAAAGCCCTGTCTTGCCCTGAGAGTCCTAGGTGCACTGGTCCACACTCCCTTCTCACTCCTTCAGAACTAACTACACACTCTCCAGTTTGATCTCTCCATGGAACCAACAGCAAACCTGCCTATGAACAGATTCAAATCACAGGCTCTATCACTCCTTTGAAGAGTCAACTCTAGATGTCAAAGGACAAAACGATTCCTTCTTGGGCACACACTCCTGAGACCTCCCGACTGCATCATTAGAACTCAACTTCTCTCCAGGCTCAAAGCCCGTATCAACATGTCATCTTCATCAGAGGAAATAAGCCCTGATCCACTGTCAGCAAGTCAATGCTGAATCACAGTGACATGACTCTCCACTGGGTCTCAGGAGACTGTGGCTTTCTCCTCTGGCTTCAAACTGATGACCTTTCAGCTAGCCGTGTAACATATAAAACACTATGCCACCAAAACTCTCTCTCACACACACACTCTCTCATTCACTCACTCACTCTCTCTTGCTTTTCAGTTCAGTATTGAGGTCAAAACAAACAAACACACACACACTATAGAAAGAAAACATAACTCAAGTTTGAGGATGCAAGTATCATATGATCAACAGAAAAAACTAAAGTCATGAGCATTCTATCATCTGGATAATGTTGGGTTGGATATATATCAGCAAACCCTGGTCCCGTCTCTACAGAGCCTATTATTTTAAAGGTCTGAAATAAGAACCTGTAATAGCAAACATGTGCTACTTTGTCAATGTATTAAAAGTACTATTATTGCATTATCATTAAAAAGGCCTTCTATGTCTCAAATGTTTCTTTTATATATTTACACACTGGAAAGTACCCAAACACCAAAATCAACCTCCCTGCCACTGAGTTAATTCCAATTCACAGCAATCCTGCAGGACAAAGAAATGCCTCAGAAGACCTAAAGGATGCAAATCTTAATGGGAGCAGACAATCTCTTTTCCCCTTGCAGGCTGGCTGGTGTGTTTGAAAGCTGACCTTTCTGTTAAGAGCCCAACACGAAACTTAGTGCACCACCAGGGTTCTGGAGAAAGGTCTATCATATGCTACATGCTAAGATGAACAATTAACATGTCAGATACGATAGGCACTGAACTGTTCTGACTCACACACAAATCTGATATAAGGACAGAGTGTGTAACTCGGGGACTGTTTGTACACAATATGCTGTTTGAAACCCACTCAAATGACATGACATCCAATTTCACAAAATATACCATGGACAGTAAACGATGCTCCACAGCCTATACATTTCACTGTTCAAAAAACTGTACTTATTAAAGTAAGTACTTTAATAAGGCTGGACTGAGGGGAAGAGAAGCACTCACCCCTGGAACTGAGCCCAGGATGATCACCTGGACGGAGTGGTTCATGGGGGAGGCTGCCCTCGGTCCCATGGCTGCTTGTGGCAACTGTACGTTCCCCAAGGACATTGGGTTAAATGGATTCAACCCTGTAAAAGTGATATATGAGAGCATATTATGATTATCACAGGAATCCAGAATTAAGGTTACATAGTGGAGTGCATTTGGCTGGGGGGGGAGGACACGACACAGGGTCGGGGGGGTTGTATACCAACGAAGAAGTTTATCTTTTGCTTTTCAAAGAGAGGGGCGAACTGGGGAGAGGGGGGTAAAGAAAAAAGTGCAATAATGAATAAATGAAAATCCAAAATCTCTGTAAATATTCATTAAAATTAATAAATTCTGTTTTTAAAAAAGGGCGGGGAGGAAGACACAAAACAGTTCATCAGTAAAATAGAAACACAGCAAAATAGAATCTTAGCTCACCAAGAAAACATATGTAAAATGGAAGATGAAACACCCACCCACCCCCACTCACACTCCATGCAAAGTCAAAGACAACCACCCAAAGACACAAAAAGCTGGGTCAATGACAGGCTTTTGTGTATCTAGAAAAACATCACGTCCATCCTCCAACAATGTTGGAAAAACAGTGTCGAGGTGGTGGTGAGGGTGGTGGAGAGGAGGGTGGAAAGTCAGAGGAAGAGGCCGAGGGGGCTGCCCGCCAGCACCATGCCAGTGCTCTGTCAGTGCATCAGCCACCCACCGCTGAGGCACCACTGACAAGGATGGGCAGCAAAGGGAGACCCCACCTGCCAGAGAGGTCTCCTGGCCACATCAGTCAGTTCCTGTGAATTTCCCACAATGCCTTATGCCTCCAAGGACTAGAAGTATCTGTTCCAGGTAAGTCATGGGACGGCGCCAGCTCTACCCAGAATCCATGTGCACATATCTGGCAGGCACTGTCTGTCACACCATGGGGGCAGCTGTGAGGGTCTCAAAGAGCCTGAGAAGTGTATTAAGATCCCACAGATAGTGTCCACACAGGCCCAGGAGGGCTGTCTAGGGAGCCTGTGATGCAAACAGATCCCTCTTAACAGAGGACTTTAGTGATGGGGTGAGAGAGGAAAAGATGAGCTAAGAAACCGCAGGACAGCAGATCTCACACACAGACCTGTGCTCGTTAGCGGCACCTTGGAGTGTTTACCAGTTTGTTCTCTTCCTCTCTTTTTGTTTCTTTGTTAGCAATTCTTTTTTGTTCTCATTTTTATTTTATTCTATGCCATTCATTTCTGCTCTCTATTGTGATGCTAGTGAAACTTTACAAAGTAAAGCTGTTTTCTCATTTGTGTCAGTATTCTGCTAAACAGCTCCCTCAGCTTGCTTAATGGGCAATGTCTCCTAAAAAGGGCACCCCCAGCAGACCGTCAGCTCTTCCCTGGGCTTGCCTCTCATCGCTAGTCCACCAAAACCCGTGCGGGCACACGCTCCCTGCCACATCACTGCCTCTACTGTGTCTCTTCCGGTATGCAACAGGACCACCACAACTTCCTCAAGAGCCTGTTCTTCGAATCTTCTGGACCATCCACCACCTTGCTTTATAACTTGTGAAAGCTCAAGTCAAGGGCTGTGGAAACCTTCCATGGAAGATAGAAAGTCAACAGGACAAGGAATCTAGGAAGGCGTACGGAGTGGTGCCCAACACCCTAGCATGATCAGTAATCTGTCTGCAACTCCCCTCCAGCAGGTCTTATCTCCAGGGTTCACAGGAACCCTTCCACCTCCTCACGTCCCACAGGTCCTGCTCTCTGTCAGGAAGTCTGCCTGCACTCTTTTGACACCTATGGTCAGTCCAGCCTCTAAGTAAAAATGCTTTTTTTTTTTTGGTTTGTTTTTCACTCCTTCCTAAGACAGCTTTCTGTCCTTTTTTTTTTTTTAAAACCAAACAAAAACCAAAACCCAAAACACAACTAACCAGCTATATCTTTCTCTTGATCTTTCTGGAGAGCTTCCCATGTGATCTACAAATTCAACACATCCCTACTACCCATGGAATGGAATGAAGCCCAAACTGAAGGAAAGAAAGCTTAGGAATAAAACTGAGAAGCCAGAATGAGACAGAATGATGAACTGAAATGAGAACTAGTGTCATAAAATAGGCTATGTATGAACAGTTGAATGGAAAGCCAATCTGTTTTTGAATTTTCACAATAAAAAGAAAAAAGTATGCAAAGGAATTAAAGTAAAAATGAGAAAAAAAATAAGAGAGGAGATAAAAAAAGCAATAGAGATTGCTGTGTGTTAAATGAAAATATGATTCACTTATAACAGCTACTAC